GAGTGTGCCTCTTAACTCAAGTAGATACAAGAGACTAAACGGGCAGCTTCTGTCCAGAGGTGAGATGGGAAGGCAGAGAGGGTTAGGAAGTGGTTGAATGGACATGGGGAATCGGGTGGAAAGGAGGAGTGTGCTGTCACAGTATGGGGAGAGCAATTACGGTCACATAACATGTATGTATAAATTCTCTATGGGAGATTAACTTGAAATATAAACTTCATCTAACCTACAACAATTTAAAAAAAAAAAAAAAAAAACTACTGAAAGAGTGAAAAGGCAACCACAGAGTAAGAAAATACTGCCATACATACATGTATTTAGAATATAAGTAGAACTCCATTAAATCAATAAAAAATAAAATAGACAACTCGACCAAAAAAGGGGCAAAAGACTTGAATGGTCACTTCACAGAAGGAGATATCCAAATGGCCACCAGACACACGCAAAGAGGCTCTCCCTCAGCAAGTTCATTGGGTATCAGGGAGCAGCAAATTCAAACCATACTGTGCTACTGCAGGGCAATGGTTGTTTTTTATATGGCCTTTCTGGCTATGGTTTTGTAACTCCCACAAAATGATTGGGTGGGACTATGCAAATAAGGTGCCTATGGCCCACCAAGGGGATTGGTCAGTTTTGTCATACCACTAGGCTTAAAAAGAGCCAATCCCATAGGTTGAGCGGGGACCTTACTAGCATCAAGAAAAAGAGTCAGGAGTAGAGCACATCCTTTGGACCCAGGGTCCCTGCACTGAGAACCTCCTAAATCCAGGAGACAGAGGGCTCTAACACTAGAGGCAACAGCGGCACAAGACAGCAGCGGCAGGACCAGCAGACAGCAAAAGGACTGACTGCCTTGGGCAGGAGGCTTCCTGGAGGAGTGGGGTGCCTCTGGGCACTGATTAGCTATAACACTAAAGAGCTGTAACACTTGACCAAGCCGGGCAAAGGCCAGGCCTGAGAAGGGCCCGGTGGCAGAGGCCTATCTGCTGGCACGGCTGCAAAAGAAGCTGTCCTGATCAAAGAATGCATCCTGAGTTGTTCCAGTACTTCCAAGTTGATCCTGAATTGTAACCTGTTACTTTCCTGTTGTTGTTAGGTGCCTTCGAGTTGCTTCTGACTCATAGTGACCCCGTGTACAACAGAACGAAACACTGCCCGGTCCTGCACCACCCTCACAATCACTGTTATGCTTGAGCCCATTGTTGCAGTCACTGTATCAATCCATGTCACTGAGGGTGGTCCTCTTTTTTGCAGACCCTCTACTCTAAGAAGCATGATGTCCTTCTCCAGGGACTGGTCCCTTCTGATAACACGTCCAAAGTATGTCGCTATCCTCGCCTCTAACGAGCATATAATCCTGAGTATGGTCTATGAATTCTATGTGGTTATTGCAACAAATTATTGAACCCAATAGAGGAGAGAGTGCCATGGGAGGGACGGCTGGTGTGAGAATTAGTAAA